TGTTCAGACACACAAATTTTTTTATAGTGTAGGTATCTATTAACACACCATTTATTATCTATTCCCTCAATGCTATTCCTATAGCCAAAATTAAAGCATCACAGCCATCAGTAATAGTTAAGCGATTTATTTCGATCCTTTAAAGATATCTCTAGGTACCTTTTATAGTAACTCGAGCGTATAATTTATGTACATTAATTTAATGCATGTAAACTTCTTTCATGTCCAATTTCTCTCTTAAAAAATCATGTATTTCTTCTATAAAGTTTATATTTTATTGATATATATGTGATATTTTAAGGAAAATAATATAGGGTTCGACTCCATTTGATTGGCAGTAAAAACTGAAAATTTTATTGACGTGAATTGTATTTTCACATGTTTATGTGGCGTCAAATGCAGTAAGAACAATCATGTCTCCTTAATGTTGGAAAATATTAAAAATTTTATGCCTCCTCCAAGACTTAATAATTTAGGATTAGGATAAATATCTCAAACATTTTTCAAAACTTTTTTCAGATAACTGTGTCAATAATATATAACAGTGTCCACGGTAGCATTCACTGCAATAATAGTAAAAAGAACACGATTTTTACAATATTGCATGCTATGTACAGAGAAGTAAAATGTTACGAAATGATTCAAAAATACTCAGAATCTCGAAGAAAAATCACTGGGCCGATAGGTGAAGATATTAAGAGATTATTAAGGAATGTTAAATTTGTAATAATGGGTTTCAACAATACGTTTTTGCAGTTTTAATATTGCCCATGAAATACACGAAGACGTTGATTTGCAAAAAATACCGTGAAAACTGAAGATTCAAATAGATCCAAATCGATGCTCTCGTTCATGAGTTACTAACGTACATACATACGGACAAAATTACGCTGTTATATACAGAAATGATAACTACGGTATTTTTGTTGTAAGAATACTTTAGCTTAAAAAATATTTTTTTGAAATAAATTGCATTATCATAAAAAATAATAAATGCGAAATTTTTGGTGCTGTCCAGCTGGTAAAGTTTAATTTATCTATACTTTTAATGCAATAAGTTAGAAATTATATTTTAATACAGCTTAAATTTGGTATGTCTAGAGGTTCTAGCACGGTTTTTAACTATGAATTTCATTAAAATATATATCTAATAAACATGCAATTCCAAAGAAACTTGAATATCGTATTTTTATATTCTCATTTACTTTAAATTATTTTTGTTCATTTCCAGCACTTTTATGAACTAGTTTCTTATCAAATGAAGGCTTAATAAATAAATAAAAGAAGCCAGTCAAGAATTCTTCAAATATAAATTAACAGATTTAATATATTATCTTATTTCTTAATGTATTACCAAAATTAATACATTGCCATTTATCTCTTAACTCAATAAATCAACACTCTTAATTAGTTAATATTTATTTACCCTCGAAAATATAATAACTGAATTGTCTACCATGTACATGATTTCAATGTTATTCGATTTGTTGTTAATAGTAACGTCAAATACTTTTAAAAACATGCATTTGACAGTTTGACGAATCGCTACAGAAACACGTGGTTGGTAAGTTAAGTGATTTCAGAACCAAGCATTTAATTGTGGAGATAAATGGTTTGGAAGTCATGAAATGCATAGTGAAAATTAAATTACTTCAGAACTATTTAGCACTGAATCAAAAGAAAATTATCATCAGTTTTAAAACTTTTCAACTGTTTAAGATAATAGGTTTACAGGTATATATATTTTTATTGAGTTAAGTAAATATATAGCTAGTAAAGAGGAAAATTATTTTTAAGATCAGCTGACTTAATTGAAAAAATAATCGGATATCGACTATGTATCTTTTACGTTCCAATAATCATAACCACAATAATAATAATAACAACATTATTATTATTATCATTAATAATATTAATAATAATAATAATTTCATTATAATTGATTGTGGTAGCGCAATTCATAGGTTTTGACTTTTCCATATATTTATGGAGTGGTTTTGTTGATTCAATGATTTCTCCTTTCATTGATTCACCGATATACCCTTTCCTCATAGTTTTCCTTCTTTTTACTTAGACATTTTATTCCTTTACTACCTGACTTCCTGTTCTTTGCACACTACTTTCGGTACAACTTTCGGGAAGCAGTAAGAAACTCAATATCACAGTACCTTATAGGTACCTTGGTTACAATAATAAATATCCTAATTACATTTGGTATGTGCTTAAATCATAAATATTACCACAATGCCAGTAGTGTCTACTTCCAAGATTATATAAGTACTAGGAGGCTCCGCCCCCTGCTCGCTAACGCTCGCCAACCCCCGAGAATTGCTACGCAATCCTATGCGGTTCACGCCGTGAACCATGGCTCGCTGCGCTCGCTTGCCAATGAACACAATGTTCTAGCACAAAGACATAGTACACTCCTCAAAAGTGAAATTGCAACACGAAGAAATAATGCACGTAGCGTCATGCAAATTTCAGGAGCGATAGTAGTGAGATGGATATGCAAATGATTAAAAAAACAGACTAATAAAATCATTATAAAGCAATTTATTCAATATCTAATGTGGCCACCNATCATCAGTTTTAAAACTTTTCAACTGTTTAAGATAATAGGTTTACAGGTATATATATTTTTATTGAGTTAAGTAAATATATAGCTAGTAAAGAGGAAAATTATTATTAAGATCAGCTGACTTAATTGAAAAAATAATCGGATATCGACTATGTATCTTTTACGTTCCAATAATCATAACCATAATAATAATAATAACAACATTATTATTATTATCATTAATAATAATAATAATAATAATAATTTCATTTTAATTGACTGTGGTAGCGCAATTCATAGGTTTTGACTTTTCCATATATTTATGGAGTGGTTTTGTTGATTCAATGATTTCTCCTTTCATTGATTCATCGATATACCCTTTCCTCAGAGTTTTCCTTCTTTTTACTTAGACACTTCCTGTTCTTTGCACACTACTTTCGGTACAACTTTCGGGAAGCAGTAAGAAACTCAATATCACAGTACCTATTATAGGTACCTTGATTACAATAATAAATATCCTAATTACATTTGGTATTTGCTTAAATCATAACTATTACCACAATGCCAGTAGTGTCTACTTCCAAAATTATATAAGTATTATTGTCGTCAAATTTTTATGGTTTCTCGAAAAGAAGAAACGGAGAAGTTACTTTTCTCCGTTAAAAATTGCTTCGTTGTACAAAACTTGTTTTTAACTCAATCACCGTTGATTTTAAATTGTTTAGTTTCATAAAAACATGTTTCAACAGTGTAACTTTAAACAAAGTAAACACGTGATACTAATTTGGGGGGGGGGAACTCGCAAATCTTACCACGTTTATAGGATGATTGAGGTAATATAACATAATGGATGAAAAATAGTTAAATATTACAGAACGTGCGTTAAAGCCTTTTAAATTAGAGATTTTAATTTTTTTAATAATGTTATTTCTGAAATATTTGAAGAGAGAGAATCGTCTATAGTTTAATTTAAAACAATGACTAAGGCTAAACTGATGAGAAAATTCCAATTTTTAGATGCTCTTCTCGAAAGATCTAATCAAAAAAAAAATTTTGATATTCTTTTTTGGGATCGAAGACTAAAATTTTTCCTTCTGCCTTCTGTTAAAATTTTTAGGGAGATAACTCAAATTAATCTGGAGTTATATGAGAGACACACACACAGACACGCAAAGTCTTCTATTTATTATCATAATATTTGTTTTACGCATTCTTCCACGCGCTGATGTATAAATTAATTCATGATCTCATTGTTACGTTTCTTAGGTTTTCTGACTAATCTCATTTTATCATAAATTATTTTTTATATTTGAAATGAGAAAATATTGCTAATATAGAATTATAATTATGTAATAAAGTTGGAGTTTACTCATTAGAATGGAAAGAAAATGTAGATCAAACTTAAAAAAAAGCATAATTATCAATATAGTTTACTTTATTACTTGTTTTTAGAGTTGATTGAAATACAGACTGCTTAAAATTAATCTTCATAAGGCTGAATAACATATAAGTTGCAATTAGCTATGTTTAAATAAATAAGTATATAATATCATTGAATTTCATGAATAATATGAATATTTTTTTAACATACATTTCGATATTTTGTATTGATATATAAGAATATGGGGATTTAGAATTATTTAAATATTCGTAAATTTTTTTTAAATGTTTAAGGTACATTTATGCTTAAGAATGAATTAAAATTTGTTTTTTAAAATAGTAAGTTAAACAGTTCATAGAAAATTTATAATAAGATCAGTTAGTGCTTATTACTGTCACTTGTGAAAGTACTAATCTTATTTTTTAACAAGAAAATTACTATTTAATTCAACCTTTTAAGAATGAAATTTGCGGAACAATTTTATTCCACCTAAGAAAGGAATATGACATAAGAAATTAACAGCAAATGTATCACGTAAAAATTTATTAATTAATTGTCAGAAATCAAAATATGGTTAATTAACTTTGTTTCCTTTAAATTTATAATTAAATTTCCCTTTCATTCATAATATAATTCCTTATTTTATTTATGATTTAATTTATTAGATTCGTAAAAAAATAAAATTCACAAGAATCCCCCATAGCTTTAAGTTACAGCCAAAAAAAAAATCTTAAATTTACTAATAATATGAATTACTTCAAATTTTTGTGCTCATGCAACTTTAATTCACGAGATTAACTCTTAACTTTAACTCAAGAGACTCACAAATTCATAAGATTCACCAATAACTTTAATTCGTGTGATTCTCAGAATAACTTTTATTTCCGAGATTCATAAAGGATTAAAATTTACGAGAGTTTCTAAAATATACACATATCAATCTTAAAAATACCCTCCTTAAATAAAATACCCTTCTTAAATAAAATACCCTTCTTAAAAATACCTTAAAAATGTCTTAAAAATACCCTCCTTAAATATCCTAAAGAAATTAAATTCACTTACCTTTCGATGCAAACGCTCACAAGAGTCATAACTGAAGCATAGAGTGCAAACACTTCTGTGAACCTAAGTGCTTTACAGAGAGGGAGTCCCAACTTCCAGCCTTTGTTTCCAATAAACTGAATTATGTCTGGAATACATGAAATCATGATGATCAAGTCACTAAAAGCCAAGTTCATAATCAGTAGATTAGTTACTGACTTGCGCATTCGCTGATCACCAATGATTGCGAATATTACCAAAAAGTTACCAGCGATGCCAATAGCACCAATCACGAAAAACAGTACAGATAAGCATATTATGGTGCTTTTAGTTGCTGGAGTAAAAGGTCCATCTAATACAGTAGTTGAGTTCCATTCATAGAAAGGTGAGTCAGAAAAATTGAGATCTATCTTGAAGATATCTACCATTTTAAAGCAAAGTACTACAAGTTCAATAACTATATCGAAATAATGGTTCCAAGAAAAATATGACGATAAATATATATTTCAAAATATTTTATTTTTAGTTATTATGACTACTTAATTACATTAAGTTTGAGAAATGAGGACCTATTAACGAGAAATTAATTATACCGATATTTAAGCATAAATTTTTAGTTAAAGTGATATTAGATGAACAACTTAAATTTCAATTAAAGTTATTACCATTGAATTAAATAATCTATAATAAATGAATTTATATCAAGATAAAAAGCTTAAATAAAGTAAAATCTCAAGAAATGAAAAAGTATTTGTACTTTGTTCAATATTTCACAGTTTATTATATTACTGAAAAAATTCGGAATTTTTTTTACCATAAACATTTATCATAAAAGCTGCTACTAATAAAATATTAAAGCTAAGAATGACTTTATATTAAAACATCATGCTTAACATTATTTGTAAAAGTTTTTGAATTTCACGAACTTCAGTTTTTAAAATAGATACAGCTCTTGAAAAAATTTTCCACGGGTAAAACTTTTTCTAACTTATTTAAATTTTTTTTCACGAAATAAACTGTCTTACTTAGATTTACACAATACCGACGTAATGCTTCAAATACTTTCTTTTCAACATAGAATATGAAACGAAACTGTCTTAATCCTTTGACGAGAGTTTCTTTTCGTAGTACTTGAAAGACATTCAAAACTGTGAATGAGAGAACGAGTTGCGTGGGAAAGATGCTCCCGCCACTAAAGATGAAGAACAACACCGTCGCCATCTACAGAATTTTCTAGAGGGGCTCCTGTAATAAAACTCTAGTTCAGAGAAATAAGTGGTCTCATATTCAGGAAATAAAACAGTTATCATTATTTGTACATTATGTACACGTTTGGTTTATGGAAGATTTGCTTTATTAATCTTCTAAAAATGTATATGCTTGAAATTTGAAGCTGTCCTCAAATGCTTATAACTTTACGAAAATTGAGAGTACTTAAAGTTATTTCGGATAAAGGTATTTCTACTTTAAAGTGGTCGAATTCTTCTACATTAATATTAAAGTAGATTGTCTCAGTGATGTAACTCAAAGAAAGCTACTCAAAACGTAATTTTTGATAAAAAAAATAAAATTTGATAAGGTGGTATGAAAACTTTAAACTCCGACTCACCGTTGAATAGAATTTTAATTACAAAATCCCTCCTATAAAGAAGTATTTCTGATAAACATTAATGGCTTTAATAGTATAGTTATTTAATAATTAGTTAATAGTTTAAAATTAACTTTTAAATAATGGTCAGTAAATTTTATTTTGTTCAAGGTCATGCCTGAAATTTTTTTTAAGTAGCTTAAATAGCATGGTTTAATATTAACTTTCAAACAACGGTAATAAAATTTAATTATGATCAAGCTTACGCATAGAGAAGCGAAAAATTACGCATAGCGATGTACTTCGGAAAAAAATTAATTGCTTAAATAATGCTGTTTAATATTAACTTTTAAACAATGGTCTGTAAATTTGATACTGATAAAGGTCATGCATAAAGAAGTAAAAAATAAAGTATAGAGGAAAAACATTCAAGGCTTAAATAGAATTGTTTAGTTATACATTTTAAGCAATGGTCAGGAACTTTAACATTGATGGAGGTGATAACTGTAAAACTGTTTAAACTTTTTATTCATGTTGCTATCCAGGAATTACTTGTAACATGTAAGCTATATTTTCCTACATAGTTTTCCTGACTAAATTGAATGAGACCAATCCTATGGACTAATATGGATTAGTATAAGCTTTTAAGTTTTTTTTTCCATAATAAGTGCAATTCAAAAATAGTGCTTTTTGTGAAAAAAAAAACATTTCATTTTCTGAAATATCATATCATTTTGTTCATGTTTAGTCTAGTTTAATTAAATGAGCAAAAATACACAGAAAACAATGCCTAAATTGCCTCCATAGCAATGTAAGATTTGTAAATAACGGCAAGCACAAAATTGTACTTTCAGTACATGAAAGGGTTATAATTTCTAAATTACCTTTTAATTCGATCCTCTCTTACTTGACTTCATTCAATTTAGAGTAGAAAAATTCATCCTTCCTATACTTAAATTAATCGGACGATTAATATAATAAGCTTTTAAGTTTTATTCATTTTAAGTGCAATTCAAAAATAGTACTTTTTAATGAAAAAAAACATTTAGTTTTGCGAAATATCTTATCCTTTTGTTCATGTTTAGTCTAGTTTAATTAAATGAGAAAAAATACACCGAGAACAATGCCTAAATTGCCTCCATAGCAATGCAAGATGTGTAAATAACGGCAAGTACAAAATTGTACTTTCAGTACATAAAAGGGTTATAATTTCTAAATTAACTCTTAATTCGATCATCTCTTACTTGACTTCATTCAATTTAGAGTAAAAAAATTCCTCCTTCCTATACGTAAATTAATCGGACGAAATTATTTCAGTATATTTGATTAAACTTACTATTCTTATGAAGATATTTATTTACTTATTCCAAGAGAGAGAAAAGTGCTAAAAAACATTTAGGTAATGAGACGTCTGGACAGTCAAGTAGTGACATAGCAATAATTGGTCAATATAGTGATTTGATTGACCAATCTATCCCAGAACCTCTTATGGAAAAGACTTATCAATTTATTTCTCAATTTCTAAAAATTAAAAAAGGAAAATTGGTTATAAATTAAAGAAAAAGTTGCACTCTTTAAAAAAGCAATATAAAAGTTTCAATTGAATCTCATGATGTTACCAAGTAAACTCATCTTCCTTTATAAATTTATAAGCTTGTAATACTGCTATTATACCTGTAACCAGCTCAAAAATTTTGAATCTCATTATTGATTAAGGTAAAAATTTTTTTTTTGGACTGCTTAGTCTCTTAATTATAAAAATTCAATATTTTTGAAGATGATATAATTTAATGAACAGATGGTGCGTATGAGGCAAAGGTATCTTATATCGTATTACTTTTCAGACCTTGATCAAATAATTACTTAACAGTTAAATATTAACAGTTAGAAGCTACATATTGTTATTTAAAACAGTTAATTTTAGCATTAAGAAAAAAAATTCAAAATAATTAAAGCAATTAAAAGCTATACTTCCTGTTTATAACCTACCTGACTATCTATACATTTGATTTTTGTGAGAAGTTCAGTTGGAACCGGGATTAAAGAATTCAAAACTGGTTAAAAGTTTTGATTATCACACTATGGAAATGATAGTGCGATATTCCCTCCACACAATTATCGAAGGATGATTGTGTATGAAAAATTTCGGTAAAAATTATTGGCATCCTGAGAGAAGCATCTGAAAAAAATCATCTTACCGTATAATTGACTTTTATCTTTTTATTTTATTATGTAATTTGTAAAGTAGTATTTGTTTAAGTGCAGTGGTTTTGTGATTTTAGAGTAAATATTGCTGTAATAAGTACGGTAGATAAGATTTTTTGTTCCGTAAATTTTTACAGTAAAACGTACCAGTTCTTAAAACGTGAGTACTTTTAACCATAATTTAATTCTGAATTTTTTACAGTGAGCAAAGAACAAACTACTAAACCAAATGTTAGTAGTTTTTGTTTGATTACTCATTATCACAAAAGGCTATGAGGATTGGGAATGGGAAGATACAGGATTGTTTAAAAAATCAAAATTACAATGAACTCGAAAATTTTTATTAACATGACTAAGAAATAGACTTGGAACGAGTTCAGTCCAGTCGTCCTCATAAGTGAGCTCGAACTTATTAAAAACACGTAGCTTTCACTATAAAAGCCTAATACGAAAAGTTTAAGAACTATTTTTTTATTAAAAAAAATACAATAATACGATAGAACTTTTGATCTTTCTTTAATGAGTTTTTGAAATAACAAGGACAGAATTTCCTGAACTGTCAATTTTGAACTAATGAATGTGACAGTCGAATGAAAAACAATGACAGCTAATTCTATTTGTTTTATTTTACAATATCTTTATTGTTTATTATAGATACTATTTTCAGTATAAAGTATACTTGACATTTTGCTACGATCTGCAATATTCTTATTACATTTTATTTTGTTTCAGATAAACATTATACATGATGTGGTTAGTAAAGCAAATCTTTTGACTTCATTATCAATGTTTTGATAAATTATTAAGATTAGTGAAGTTTAATGTTTATTATAATTAATGTTTAAGATAAGTGAAGATGCGGCTACTTTGCTTCATTTTATAGCTGGCATTGAATAGCCGACACTATTTGGAATTTACGACTATCAATGTTCGAGTCCACTGACTTGTAAATTTGGACTCAACCCAGAAGACAATGGAAATTCTGGATCAGGTATTGGGACAAATTCACCTTCGTGGTGGACTTTTTGCTAAAACTAAAAGCATTTGTGTTACGGGGAGAGGAAAACCCTGAAAACCTTCCTCAGTTATTCCGACGACAAGGAATTCTAATTCATTATCATTTGTAACTGAGGTTATTTTATGTCAGCAGAGTGGTCGGTACGATCCGGAATGGAATTACAATTGGAAAAATCCAAGAAGAATATGAAAGTGAATTTGTGATCGAATTTGACAACTCATTCAAAATAAATCATACATTCAGTGCGGAAACGCACATTGAAGGAAGTCATATTAAATTATCATAGTTTGAAAAATAATAATGAATGTTTCTTTCTTTTTAATTACACCCATTCTTCATTACCTATTTTCTGCTTGCATTTATTCTTCAAATATTCTAAAATATACGTAAGTCATAATACTCATCATATATAGATAAATCAGAAAAAAATAGAAATATTCAATAATTGCACAATCCTGTTTGCAAGGACAACATATATTTATATTATTCTTTCTCGAATTAAATATAAATGATATATTTTTCAATAACACATTCCTAATTGTGTTTGCAGAAAGCTATAATTATTCTAATATTCAGGCTATTATCGACACTCTATATCAGGGAACGTTGAAAAGTAATCTATTTATAAGGTACTTT